AGTAAATAAAGCTAAAAGGAAATCATTAAAACCAAATAAAACCTCAATGAAGTGTGAGTTCATGCTCACTAGATGGTCTAGAATTTTAAAATCTGACAATACTAAGTGTTTGTAAGGATTTAGAGAAGTGGGAACTTTCAGAATATTGAGGGAGTATAAATTGTTACCCCCACTGTGGAAAACAATTTGACTTTATTCAGTAAAGCTGAAGAAGTTTATACCCTTAGTCTACCTATCCTATTCCCAGGTACACCTAAATGAAATCTATAAATATTCAACTGAATGTCCAAAAATATTCATAGGCGCTGTGTTTTAAGTTAGCTCTTCTGAGAAGTCATCCTATCATCCATCGATAGCACGTCTCACCATCTATTGAATGAAAAATAAGACTATATTCATAAAATGAATAAAATAAAACACATGCGTCAACACCAATGAATCTCAAACAATGTCAAGTGACAAATGCAAATCATATAATGATTTGTATGTATGTATGAGAATGTATGTATGTATAAGAAAGCCAGAAGAAACAAAATGATGTCTTAGGATCATGTATATATTTATAACTCCAAATAAAGAGAATGATTAACATAAAGTTCAGGTTAGTGACATGATTGTTTTTGGTTTTTGTTTTTGGATGGGGGAGAGAGAAGTCAGCAGTATCGGATACACAGGGTGCTTCAGTGAAACAGTGATATTTTATTTCTTAGAGGGAATAGTGGGTACGTGTGTGTTCACTTCATAATTATTTTATGAACTATATGCCATTTATTCCATGTATTTTTGTCTTATGACGGATTTCACAAGAGAAGCTTTTTAATAGAGGCGAAAGTAATATGAACAAAAGCAATAAGGTCCTAGGAATGCAATTTGTAAGAAATTTTTAAAAACAGATTTTTAAGGGAGGGACAAAAAAGGAACATTAATAGGTGAAGATTTAGGCAGCATTACTGGTGGGAGGACCCATTACAAAAAGACGTCATTTGCCCCTCAGAGAAGTAAAGAACACAACTGGAACAAAAGTTTGACTGGAACATCTTTGAAGTTTTGTAAAATTTTTCCAAAGCTCTTCTGGAAAAACAAATGGATAGTGAGAGCCCAGGAAACTTCACAAAAGAATAATAAGAGAAAAGAGCTTTTTTCTGTCAACTATTCAAACGTGTTATATGAACACAGCAGAAAGATACTGTCAGAAAAAGTGGCTGGGGCTCACTGAAACAGAACAGGGAGCCACACAACACATGTCAGCTTATAAAATCATCGAACATGCTAGTAAAATGGCATTTTAAATCACTGGGGAAAGTTCTGACTGGTCAATTAATTGTCCTAAGAAAACCGTAAAGAACAGTACTTAGATTTCTACTTTGTGCAGTATGTAAAATACATTCCAGATGGATTAATGAGTTAGGTTTAAAAGGAAGGTGGGGATAAATCCTGTAGAAGAACATAGAGATGACCCTTCTTCTGACCTGGCGTGAGAAAGAGAATTTCCTCCAAACTGGAATTGGAGGAGAACAGGTCACCTGAGTGCTAGCAGCTTGATCGTCACACTCATGGCCTCCCCTGGATAGACCCTTGGGAAGACTGGCCTCTACATTTCTCCGTCCAGCTCACTCTGCACCTCTTAAAGCTTCTCCAATTTCCTGACCATTGGTAGATGGTTTCACTCTGGCTTCTCAAGAAGATGGAGCCCTAAGGACACCTCAACTGTGTCTTCTCCAAAGCAGCTGCACATTTTCTTGTCTTCTCTTGCAAGAGGGAAGGTGCTTTCTTTCCACCCACCACCATTCCTGTCTTTTCAGGACAGAACCACTCCAGTCATTTCCTGTCTCTTTTCCACTCTTCTACCTCTTACTTCACTTTTGGATTTTTCCTGATCGCCTGCCATTCCTCCATAACCTCTCCCACCCATGGGGCATAGGGGCTACTGATGTGGCCCATAGTCCATCCCTGCTCTTCTTGCATCCCTGCCCCTCGTGGCCCAAATCGCTGACTTGTCTGGGCACAGTCCCTCACCTATGGCTCTCTCCTCCATCCACAGAAGGAGGCTGTGAGGCCAGCTTTCCCCTTCAGTTATTCTTGTGTAATTCACAGATAACCTTGAAGACAGTACATTCAGTGGGCAAATTAAAGCTCACAGTTTCCATGACTATCCAGTCACATCCATCACTGTGAACCAGTCCCTTCTAGATCCCCCTTCAACTACTTCCATGACAGCCCTCATTCTTGGTTCAGGGGTTCCTCTCTGAATCATGGCTTCTCAGTTTCTCAGTTTCTTCCTTTCCTTTTGATTGTTAAGATTGTATTTTCCCTTGGCTTAGTCCTGGACCTGCTTTTTGGTTCCCTTCTAAGCAGTCACCCAATCTCATCTGTCCAACTGCTTCTTAGTGTTGCCATTTAGGTGTTCTACACACACCTCAAACAAAGCATCACAAACCCCGCCAGCTTCCTTTCCAAAACTAGCCCTCCTCTAAGGCTCCCTTTCTATGAACAGCACTCTGACCACTCTAAAAACAGACAAGCTGGCTTTTTTCTTGACCTAGCGCTTCCCTGTTTCACCCTTATCCATCACCACCAAATCACATTCGCTAAGCAGCTGCAAATCTCCTGCACCATCTGCTGCTTTTCTGTACCACCGTCACCCCGTTGACGTATTACCGTCCTTTCTTTCCAGGATGGCCTTGCTTCTTCCACTGTTGCCCTCACAAAGTGACTCACCACATTCCAACACCTACCCCCCACACTTTCACCCTAGAAACTTTACTAATCCATTATCTTTTATCTTCCACTTAGCATCCTGACTTACCAGACTAGATTTTCTCTGCTTGTTATAATTCTCCCAATACTTTGTGCGCTTACCTCAAAGTCCTGATGTTTGTGACAAGGATGAATAGATAAGGGAAAGCAGTTAGAGATCTGACAACTTAGAAGCTTCTAGATACCTTAAAGAGTCAAGAAGCAAGTGAAAAACTGACAAAAATATTTGTAATCCATGCAAAAAAAATCTTGTATCTTTAAAAACAGATTATAATTACAAACCCATAAGACAACGATGGACAAAAATGAAGAACCATAGAAGAAAATGAGAACAGGGTATAAAGAGCATGTTCATAAAAGAATCAATGCAAATGGCCAATTAAACTGAAAAAAAAAAAAAACCTGCACTCTCCAGTTTTCAAAAAAGGATACACGCACATACACTTAATTTTTTAAATAGTCAGTGTTGGCAAGGATTGGGAATAGTCATGTTCTTCTTTTGGGGAGCTCAGAATGGTACAAACTCCGTGGAAGGCAATCTGACAAGACATGTCAAAAGCCTTAAAAAGAAAATAGTTCATCTACTTTGGCCCAATAAATTAATTTCCAAGAATTTCTCTTAGGGAGATCAGCAGAGTTTCATGAATATACTTATTTATAAGAATTCTCATTGCAGTGTTATTTATAGTCATAAAAAATTCAAACCAATTTTAATGCCCAATAATAATGATGCCCATTAAAATGCATGGCCCCAAAGAACATTTAAGGATTTTTTTTTTAAATCTGTGTTTCGTTCAGTGATAAAAGAAGGTCACAATAGACTATGTGCTGTAGGAGTTTAATTTTTCAAAATATGTATATGCATAGGCATAAAAATACTGGAAAAATATCTCCAGTTATGGGGATTGTGAGTGATTTTGTTCTTTTCTTTTTTTTACCCTATCTGTATATTCTTAATATTCAACAAATTCTGCGTATCATGTCCATAATGAGAAAAACTAAATATATTTTAATTTAACAATAGGGAACTGATTGCAACATATGGCCAAGGCTATATCGAGAGAGGCATAGCGTGATGATTAAGAGTATATGCTTTGAAGCTCACAGACAGGTGTTCAGTTCCCTCTTTACAACTTAAGAGCCGGATGACCTTGAGCAAGTTATTTAATTCTCTTAGCCTCAGTTCCCTTATCAGCACAAACGAGATAATACGTACTGGGCAGAGCTGTTTTGTGGCTTAGATGAAATAATGTATGTAAAATTCTGATCAAAGAGTAAGTGCTTAGTAAAAGTGCCTGCTTTTATAATGCCAAAATATAAATAGATCCGGTAACGATTTATATGTATTCATGATTCCTTAGGGGGTTATAACTGGAAGTTTGGAGAATCATTTATTTTATGGTTCAGTATCTTCCAGACTGTCATAATGATGCCGGAATCCAGCAGGAGGATGCTGCCAGGAAAACTGACCTGGCTGCAGAAACAGCCTAGGAAAGGATTTGCTCATTAGGGCACAGTGCTGGCATGGGTCATTTATTCACCTACTCGACCAACCAGCAAGTGGTTATTAAGCTTCTACCATGTGGCAGGCAATGGGGACTCAGCAGTGAGACAAACTAGCTGCCTTCTTGGAATGAGACAGACTTCTCGTAATTGGACTGAGGTTTCAAGACGCATAGATCCTGCCGGATTCAGGAATTAGGAACCCGAGGAATAGTTGGAGACCCCTGCCTATAGTTGGAGACAACTTGGCAAGGTCAAGAAAATGGTAGTGAAGCTCACTTTGCATACCTCAGTTACTAATCTTAAGGCAAGAGTCTGATTCTAGAATCCCACCCGCCAAGAGTGCTGGCGCCTACTGATGTCCTCCCTGTGCTGGTCAGTTTAATTCAAGGTCAGACTTGCTCAGTCTGCAAGATAAAAGACCATTGACGACCCAGGAGAGGGGTTAGCAAACTCTGGCCCATGGGTCAACAGCAGTCTAGTGTTGTTGTTGTTGTTTTTTTAAATAAAGTTTTATTGGAACACAGCCACACCCATTTATTTCTGGATTGTCTGTGGCTATTTTTGTGCTATAAACACAAAGCTGAGCCATTGTGACAAAGACTGTATGCCCACGAAGCCCAAAGTATTCATTATCTGATTCTTCATAGGAAAGCTTGGCCAACTGCTGTTCTAGGTCAACGGGGCTGGGGAAATGGAGTGGAAGGTGACATTAGGTTCCTAACTTTTCCCTTTTGTAGTTCCAGGAGCTGTTCCCCTAGAATCCATCCAAGGAGGGCCCTTTGAGGAGAAGATCTACATCCAGTGGAAGCCTCCCAACGAGACTAACGGGGTCATCACACTCTATGAGGTAGGAAGACTCTTTTGCTGTATCACTTGGCTTGGCTGTGTTCAGTTTGCATCAGTTTGAAGTGGGGTGCATGCCTCCTGCGTGCAAACTCCATTGAGGGCTTGAAGGTGAGTGAGAGACACAACTCAGGCAGGGGTTTCCAACAATGTAGTGGGAAGGAGACACAAGGGCATACAGCCGAGCTGCTTGACAGCCCCAGTGACAAAGAAAACTGGACACACCGCACACTGCAGTCATGACTGATGTCTTGAGAAGGGAGTCGGCACCCGGGGAGGCAGACTGTCCCGGCATAGCCAAGGAGACCCCTGCCTGGCCAACAGTAGGACAGTTCAGTTTGTCTGGAAAACCACAGTGCTCCCCTGATACTCATCCTACACCTGCCAGCTTCTGGGCTTCCAGGAGAATCCCAATGTCAGTCTCTGCCCTGGGGCTCTGTGATTCCTGAGCCCTCATATCACTGCAGCCACAGTGTATTTTATTGCTGCTCCAGTGATGGTGTCAGAAAGCACCCTCCCACCATCAGCAGGGCCTTATCCTATCAGAGGGGGAACAGAACCCCCTCCGGCAGGAAGGCATCCATCAAGCCAACACCACGTGGCTTCCTGAAAACTTTCCAACTTAGAACAAAGTGTGTAGAAGTCCACTGCAAAACAAACACAAGCAACAAACCTTCAATAAGGCAGATTGGGCTGAATGCTGGTACTGAGATGGGGTCAAAGTTGACTCTCCTCCCTTCCCCCGCCCTGCCCCTGCTTATCTGGAGAACCCCGGAGACTGTAGCAAGGGCTGTGGTGGAGAGCTCAGCAGTGCAGAGGTGCAGAGGGAAGAGTGTGGAAGCCAGAGCTGCAGGGATGGAGCCCAGCATCCTCAGTCTCACGTGACCTCTGGCAGTTCTTCCCCTCTCCAGGCCTGCTTCCTCCTCTGCAAAATGGAAGTGGTGATGGCTGCTTCCGGGCTCCACTGGAGGGTCTGAGGTGGGCAAGGTTCCCAGCACCCCTGGGCTGAAATGCACTGCAGACACTGAGGGCTCATGCAGGAAGGCAGTGAGAGGTCCTGAGGTGCACTGAGAGTGAGCTGGGAAAGAACATCCCCACATGAGGGAGGAAAGTCAAAGAGCAGTGGTGAGGGAGAAACAGGTGAATTTGATGGACACAGGAGCTCTCTAGAGAGACCTGGAAGGACCCCAGAGCTCTCTGAGAAAGGAGAACGCCATCCACCATGTAAGTTGCTAAAGAAAACACCTCCGGAAGATGCCTTAGCTCACCACATCCAGCATTCCCCTAAAGAAGAGCTGCCTAAGGCTCCATCTTGGGCCACATGGTTGGGAGAAGCTTCCTTCCTGGGGAACTTGCTAGAGGAGGGGAGGGGCCATATCGACTTTGCCCAGAATGTGCTCAGTAGTAGCTCACCAGGGAATAGCGGGTCCTCACCTGAAACAAAGCCCCATCATTTCAAAGCAACCTGTCATTCTTTGTGATACGCCCCCCCCCCCCATACAAGTGAAATAGACATCCATGGTGTGTGGCAACCAGCTCTTTGTAAAGCAGAGGGAAGGGACCCAGAACTTGGGGAGTTAAGTTACTTGGTATTATTACATAAATGGCTCTCTATGCCAGATGTTCAAGACTTCTGGAATTCACAGGCAAGTAACACTTCAAAAGGTTTGGAGGACCAACATACAGTTCTTTACCATTTTTTATTAATATCATTTCATAAAAGACATCATTTCAAAAATACAGAAAGGACATAATTTAAGAATAAAAGGCAGTCCTTCAAATTGCATAAATTTAGCTTTATGAATAACTCATGAGTCTCCTTATTTTCTCTCTTTCTGCCTTGAATTGAGGACAACTTTGTCCTGAAAAGGCCCTAGTCCTTGTGCCTAGCTCACTTGGAAACCACTGGGCTCGGTCACGTGGAAGGAAGAGTCCTATCCCTGCACAGACCGACTTCTTCCTCGGGAGCCGCATACTTCTTCCTCTAATGGGATGTACGCTGGGCTGGGTTGGGAAAGCAGCTCATGCCGGTCTATGAAAAGAAGAGAGGCATAGATGGAGAGAGAGCAAGAGAGTAATCCCAGCCATGAGTGGCACGCCCTGTTTGAGCAATAGTACCTCAAAGTTGAGGACTCATTGTACGGCACATTCTCTGGAGCTCTGGGCACCAAGGTGGGCATAGATTGGCATAGGGAACCCTTCTTCTCACTTGCATGTGAGCCCTGAATCTTGTGCAGTTTCTAAGACCAGTCACTGGGGATGCTGGCATTTCTGCGATGGGTTGTCCCGGACAAAACTCCTGCAGGACACCCTCAGGTAGCTTTTTGGCTGCTCTTTGGGCTGTGATTACAGAGAGCCAGGGATGGAAGGCTGTAGCTGTGTGACTTGTTTGTGAGCTCTGGAGGTCACCTTTTGGGAGTATGCTATGCTTCTTGGATGTTGTCGTGAAGGGAGCCAAAGAGGTCATGGGCTGAGGTCATTGTATTTTGAGCGTAAACATGGCAGGGCGCCTGGGTGGCTCAGTGGGTTAAAGCCTCTGCCTTCAGCTCAGGTCATGATCCCAGGGTCCTGGGATTGAGCCCCGCATCGGGCTCTCTGCTCAGCGGGGAGGCTGCTTCCTCGTCTTTCTCTCTGCCTGCCTCTCTGCCTACTTGTGATCTGTCAAATAAATAAAATATTTTTTTAAAAAAAGCATGGCTGTGACCATGTGCTTCACAAGTTAGTGGAGCCTCAGAAAGTAAGAATGCTGGCTTTTGAAGTCCAACAACCTAGTTCTGAACCCTAGTTCTGCTCCTTGTGTCCTGTGTAACCATGGGCACATCAAGTAGCCTCTCATTTACACTGATCTGTAAATATCTATTTATGTTTAATGCTGTGTTTGGCATTTAAAAAATAGCATCAGTAAACGTTAGCTGAGGTACATAATGATAAGGAAGTTGAATGTCGGAGAGGTCAAGTGTGGAGACCAAGGTCATAGAGCTGAGGTGGCAAATTTGTGGGTCCTGAATTCAAGTGTGGATGCCTTATCACTTACTCAGTGTGGCCCATGGACTGGCAGCATTACCTGGTTAGAAATATAGCATCTCAGGCGCCATCAGACCTCCTAAATCAGAGTCTCCATGTGAACGAGATTCCCGGATGGTTCAGATGGGCATGAACGTTGGCTCAGTAGTGCTCTAGACCACATCACTGCTTAGAAAATTTCAGCAGTTGGGGCACCTGGGTGGCTCAGTGGGTTAAAGCCTCTGCCTTGGGCTCAGGTCAAGATCTCAGGGTCCTGGAGTCGAGCCCCGCATCAGGCTCTCTGCTCAGCGGGAAGCCTGCTTCTCTCTCTCTGCCTGCCTCTCTGCCTACTTGTGATCTGTCTGTCTGTCAAATAAATAAATAAAATCTTTAAAAAAAATTTCAGCAATTGATATGAGACTATGTCCTCCTGAGTAGAGAAACAGGGAGTCCCTTCCACGCTGGGTTCAACCCATTCCTGCCCCAGCTCACAAGCAGGAGACCTTGCTTTTAAAGACATTTATAACAGAGTATGTGTTTATGAGGCAATTTCCAAATTTAATTAGATGAAACCAATTTGATTTTTAAAATTAGGTTCTGGTTGTAATTTCTAGAGAGGAACCCATAAATTACAAATCACCCTCTTCTGGTCTCAAACAGTATATTTTGTGACAAAGAAAAATAGGCTAACACAAATAGAAGAGAAATCAATCTAGGATTCTCTGTACCGTCCTATATATAATCTTGGACTTGGCAAAGTGAAAAGTCAAGAAGAAGGGCAGTGGATGTAGTGAAGGAGGGTTGTGACTATGTAAATATTGTATATATTATTCAGTATAGTAGGTTCAAGTAAATTTTAAAAATTCAATTTCCTTCCCTATGAGTCTAAGTCACAACCTCTGTGTCCATCCTTAGACAGTTCTGCCAAACCTGAGTGGCTTTGGTTATGTCTCATTCTCTCTCTGGGCTTACATCCCCTCTTTGTAATATGATGGTGTCAGATCATTCCAGGCCTCAACTGAGTAAGAATCAAGAGAAAAATAAATCCATGTCATATCCATAAAATCACAGGTTAATATCTCATTTTGGAGTTGCTCTGCTATTGAAACTTTGCCTGTAGCCAGAGTCTTTGAACACAAAAGCAGTGGTGACACTTGAAGAATAATAGCTAGGGCAAAGGCCCTGGGGTAGGAATGATTTTGACAAGTTTAACAAACAGGAAGAAGGTCAGGGTGACTATAGCTTCAGGAGCCATGGAGGATGATGATGAGATCACGTGGGAAATGTGTGGGCAGGGTCAGGTTGTGCAGGAATTCTAGTGTTTGTGCTTTATCCTGAGAAACATAGGAAGCCCTAGGAGAATTTTAAGTAGAGGAATGAAAGAATCAGATTTATATTCTTTAAAAGATCACCTGGCTTTTGTGTGGCTAGTGGGCTGTGGGTACACAGGCATCTTGGAGACATCTGGAAAAGGTGCCAGAGGCAAGGACATTTCCATCTCCTATGATACTGCAAGGAGGGCTCAGCTCCTTATGGGAAGATCTTGTACCCAGATGGAAGACACAAGAACTTTGTCACATCTGCCTCTTTCCTGCTGCTAACCTGGTCTTTGATGCCTTTTTTTTTTTTTTTAGTCAGGAGTTCTTATCTAGATATGCTCCCTAGAGCCATGGACCATGAGACCATGGACCTCTTTTCCCTAAGGAACGGGAGTCTAGCCCTCAGCCTAATGCCCTCTGGGGCTGTGAAACAGTCTAATACTTCCAGCAGTTACGACCTCTCTCCCTGCGCACTGAAATGGGAGCTCAGAGTGCTCCTCAGAACCCACCAAAGCCAGGCTCACCTTCACTGTGACAGGAGGCATTAGGATGAATTAGACCATGGCCTCAGATCTTTGGGGATTTGTACTTTAGTGCAACATACAGAGTGCACCTCTGTGATCAGTTTCCTAACACCGTGACACAGAGTGCTCAGAGTTGGGTAATGTCGGAGGCCTCATCG